TAGTAGTAGTAGTAGTAGTAGTAGTAGTAGTAGTAGTAGTAGTAGTAGTAGTAATAATAATAATAATATTAATAATAATAAAAATAATAATAATAACAACAAGTTTAAAAAATTAACAAATAATAATCAAAATAGTTTTTTTTTTAATTAGAAAGTTAAATAAAGATTATAAGTAGCTGAGATTGGATGTCCATTATTATGTCTTCGATTGCCTTCGTCTGTTTGCATATTTGCTTGTCTCTTTGTCAAAGAGTCTCTTCGTTTTTGTAAGCCTATTTGTTTGCCTGTCGGTCTAGTTGTGTGTATGCTACTCATTTTGTCTGTCTGTTGGTCTATTCATGCGTCTGTTGGCCTATTTATCTGTTGGTCTATCCGTATGTCTGTTGGTCTATCCGTATGTCTGTTGGTCTATTCGTGTGTCTGTTGGTCTACATTTGTGTCTGTTGGTTTATTCATGTGTCTATTGGCCTATTTATCTGTTGGTCTACCCGTGTGTCTGTTGGTCTACATGTGTGTCTGTTGGTCTATCCGTGTGTCTGTTGGTCTATCCGTGTGTCTGTTGGTCTATTCGTCTGTCTGTTGGTCTATCCGTGTGTCTGTTGGTCTGTCCGTGTGTCTGTTGGTCTATTCGTGTGTCTGTTGGTCTATTCGTCTGTCTGTTGGTCTATTCGTGTGTCTGTTGGTCTATCCGTGTGTCTGTTGGTCTATTCGTGTGTCTGTTGGTCTACATGTGTGCCTGTTGGTCTATCCGTATGTCTGTTGGTCTATTTATCTGTTGGTCTATCCGTGTGTCTGTTGGTCTATTTATCTGTCTGTTGGTTTGGTTTATCCGTATGTCTGTTGGTCTACATTTGTGTCTGTTGGTTTATTCATGTGTCTATTGGCCTATTTATCTGTTGGTCTACCCGTGTGTCTGTTGGTCTACATGTGTGTCTGTTGGTCTATCCGTGTGTCTGTTGGTCTATCCGTGTGTCTGTTGGTCTATTCGTCTGTCTGTTGGTCTATCCGTGTGTCTGTTGGTCTGTCCGTGTGTCTGTTGGTCTATTCGTGTGTCTGTTGGTCTATTCGTCTGTCTGTTGGTCTATTCGTGTGTCTGTTGGTCTATCCGTGTGTCTGTTGGTCTATTCGTGTGTCTGTTGGTCTATTTATCTGTTGGTCTATTCGTCTGTCTGTTGGTGGTCTATCCGTGTGTCTGTTGGTCTATTCGTGTGTCTGTTGGTCTATTTATCTGTTGGTCTATTCGTCTGTCTGTTGGTGGTCTATCCGTGTGTCTGTTGGTCTATTCGTGTGTCTGTTGGTCTACATGTGTGCCTGTTGGTCTATCCGTATGTCTGTTGGTCTATTTATCTGTTGGTCTATCCGTGTGTCTGTTGGTCTATTTATCTGTCTGTTGGTTTGGTTTATCCGTATGTCTGTTGGTCTACATTTGTGTCTGTTGGTTTATTCATGTGTCTATCTGTCTTTCTGTTGGTCTATTCAAGTAAGTGTCTGTTGTTTTGTCTGTTGATCTATTCATGCATCTGTTGGTCTATTTATCTGTTGGTGGTCTATCCGTGTGTCTGTTGGTCTATTTATCTGTTGGTGGTCTATCCGTGTGTCTGTTGGTCTATTTATCTGTTGGTTGTCTATCCGTGTGTCTGTTGGTCTATTTATCTGTTGGTGGTCTATCCGTGTGTCTGTTGGTGGTCTATTTATCTGTTGGTGGTCTATCCGTGTGTCTGTTGGCCTATTTATCTGTTGGTCAATCCTTGTGTCTGTTGGTCTATTTATCTGTTGGTCTCTCCGTGTGTCTGTTGGTGGTCTATCCGTGTGTCTGTTGGTCTATTTATCTATTGGTCTATCCGTGTGTCTGTTGTGTACCTGTGCAGGTGTCGTATCCGATGTAGGGCTGAATGTTGCTGGAGATGTATTCACCATGGTGGTCGGCACAATAGCACGTCTTCTCTTCCAGGTTGCTCAGAGATGCCTGCACACACACACACACACACACACACACACACACACACACACACACACACACAGAGGAACACAGCAACAGTTAGCACCGGTACAGAAATACATATATAAATGAATGAATGAATGAAAGAAAGAATGAATGAATGAATGAATGAATGAATGAATGAATGAATGAATGAATGAATGAACGAGTGAATGAATGAATGAATGAATGAATGAATGAATGAATGAATGAACGAGTGAATGAACGAATGAATGAATGAATGAATGAATGAATGAATGAATGAATGAATGAATGAATGAATGAATGAATGAATGAATGAAAGAATGAAAAAATGAATAAATGAATAAATAAATGCATTACATTTGAGTGGCATTATGATCAAATCAGACATTGATCAAATTAAATTCATGGAAGAAGCAGATACTTTTCCGGCTGGGTAATTTTTACAATGTTTATTTTTGGGTTGTTGTTTATTTTTGGGTTGTTGTTTTTTTTGCTCAACACCTTTATGTCCATTCAAAAACACATTTGTATCGCTACAAGGTAGAATCAGATGCTCGTCAGTTTTTGACCATTTGGAGTTATTGATATCATCTAAAAGGTTGCTCATTTGTCTTGCTTTTGATTTTTAAAAAAAACCATTAAAAAAACACATCTATCTTGAATAAAAGTTGAGATATTTGCGATTGAAGAAGAAGGGGTTTAGAAGAGGTTTTACGGCGCTCGCAACTGCATAAGGTCATATGAGCGCCAGAGGATTAGAAGTGTTACAAGAGAGTAACAAACTTAAAAAAGAAGAAGGGAAGATAAGGATGATAGATATGATAGGAAAGAAGGAGCAAACCACACCAGAGCACCCACCAACCGCCCGCAAGGAGAAGGGGATCGCCAGATATCAGAAGAAACATTTGTGAGAAAATAACCGCAACATTTTGGTGACTTCGAAATCTTGAGTGTCCTTAGCGAAAGCAATTATTATTTTACTTAGTTGTGCCTTTTATCGCCGTTTTTGAAAGTGAAATCCATACAGAAATGTGTTTTTAAATAGACGTAAAATGTGATAGAAAGATGGAGAGATAGAAAGAAAAAAGATAGAGAGATAGATAGATAGATAGATAGAGAGAGAGAGAGAGAGAGAGAGAGAGAGAAAGAGAGAGATAGATAGAGATAGACAGAGAGAAATAGATAGAGATAGACTGAGAGACAGAGAGAGTGAGATAGAGAAAGAGATAGAGATAGATAGAGATAGACAGGGAGACAGAGAGAGTGAGAGACAGATAGATAGATAGATATATTGATAGATAGACTGATAGATAGACAGATAAACAGACAGATAAAAAGATAGATAGACAGATAGATAGTCAGATATATAGACAGATAGATAGACAGACAGACAGATAGATAGATAGATAGACAGATAGATTAACAGATATACAGAGAGCGAGAGAGGAAAAGAGAGATCACCAACTCACCACACACTGGACTTTGTCATAGAATCCCGCCTCTGTACAGTTGGGCAGCATAATGTTATCGTCTCCAGCTAGATTGACCAGAGCTCGAACCAGGTCCTCCACGCCACGGCTGTCAAACCCTGGCATCTCCAACCGGCCTCGCATTGTGTCCATCGCATCCTCCGACATCGCACGCTGACGCTCACACTTGGTACGTGCTGTCACAGACAACAATATCATCATCATCATCATCATCATCATCATCATCAACATTGTCGTCGTCGTCGTCATCATCGTCATCATCATCTTCATCCTCACCTTCACCGTCATCATCATCCTCATCCTCATCATCATCATCATCATCAGCACCATCACCATCATCATCCTCATCCTCATCATCCTCACCATCATCATCATCATCATCATCATCATTCATCATCATCAGGTGTCAGATCTGAGACAGACATTGGCGATCATGGTTCGTGAGACATCTCTTTGCTCGGATGCTCTCAATAAAGCAATTATAATTATCCTTATCTTTCCCCGCCATCTATCTATTTAGATCAGAAACATGGAAACTTGCAACAAAACAAACTTCTCCAAAGGTACCGGCATTGTAAAAAAGCTGCATATTAATGAAGATCCTAAATGTATTGGCCTAACTCCATATTTACTGTCGCTTTTGATGAAGGACAAGCGGGCTAACCCAGAATGTGTGGGTTTCCAGAAGTCTTGACCAGCTCCAAAAGTGGGTATTGCACTACCTATAGGAGAACTTTGGTTTCATTGGTGTGTATATTTGTTTGGTTATAGAAAAAACTCTCCTTGTCTTTTAAAGAAACTGAACAAGAGTTCAAAAACTTTACCTTCGATTAAACCCCCCCCCAGCATTTTTCGGGATAGCCCCCTTGTGCTTAAGAGCGACCACATTATAACAACAAAAACTGTAATAATCACAACAACAACAACAACAACAACATCAACAACAACAAACCTACCTTTCCTGTTACAGAACAGGCCACCATAGCCCTTGGGACAGCGACACAACACGCCATCCTCCAGCCTCCCCTTACACACACACACACA